GTAAGCCTTTTACCTGCATGGTTAGTGTTCCTGGATTATTGTCTTCCTCTCCATGGATAAGCAAGATTGGCTTCTTGATTTTATTAGCAGACAAGAACGGGCTCATCTCTACATAAGTGGAAGTGGCTTCCCAGAGAGTTCTATCCTCATTCTACAACAACAGGATCGGAAAAGCAAAGCATGTAATCTATCCAAAGATAAAAGCTGAAGATAAAGAACAAACGAAAATTTTGGAGTAAAAGTTTTATGTTGCTACTAAGGATTGAGCATCAAGCTAAAACACTCAGGCATGCTTGAGTATTACCTGAAAACCAAAGGGGGTAAGGGTTCTGTTATAAGCTCCAGAACGAGCAATTCCACAACAGAAAAGATGAGGAGCATGTGCCAGAAGGTTTGCAGTCATAAATGCTCCATAAGAATGTCCTCCCACAGCAATTTTGTTAGGATGGGCAACCTGAACACATGCAGAACGAAAAACCAGTAAATTTTTTTTCAATAATTGCAATGCCAATAATGTTCATACACTAAGGGAGTGAGATGCTTACTCCACGTCTGATAACCTCGTCCACAGCAGCCTCTGCACTTGCAACCAGTTGCTCTACATACCTGAATTCAGATCATAAATTTGATCAATGGTCCAAGCACAGTAAAAGCTTACAAAATTATGGAGTACTCAGTCAACTATGGAATTTTGCAGATCTATTTTGGTTTGGTAAAAGAAGAAGCACACTATATTTTCTTGCTCAAACCATATTTTTAAATGAATGAAATTTCCCCCTTATTTTCCTGAAATCTTTTACCTATCAGAAAATTTCTTGTCCAAGAAGACAGCTATCATTATGGAGTTCTACTGCAATCCCAGACTCTCACTTAAAGAAAACAAATTATTTTTGACAGATAAATAGCTTTATGGCACAACATAATGCTGCAAAGGTGAACAAGGACAATTGCATTAACAACAACTCAGAGAGAATCAAATTACCTATCATTGGCTTCCTCGTCACCTTCACCAATAATTGGAATTGTTGGTCCTGATAAAATAGCAAACCTGCAGCAGATAGGGTTAGGGTTGACCATGGTCTGGTCTAGCATGTTCCAACAAAGCCAGCAGGTAGAAAAGGGGCAAAAGAATAAGCACATATGGCAGGAAAAATAAAAATGCAAAAAGCGACAAGTATAAGCAAATAGAAGGGAGGATGGTTCACGTGCCTTCTAGCAAGCCAAAGAAGGGCAGATGTAGGCCCTATGCCTGCAAATTTATTAGGAGAACCACGTACTTGTCCAGCAGCATCTTTGCTTTTAAATTCCCTAGGATAAGACCAAGCCAGACATGGAAGAGGGCCATCCTTTGATGGATCATAGCCTGGTGGTAAGTATAATGTTGCAGTAAGTTGAACGCCATCCTTTCTCTGGTATCTGATCATCTCTTTCTGTAATGATGCCAACTGTGGATATGGATGAGGGAAGTTCGTGATCTGACATGGTTTCTTATCTGGCCAACTCTGAATATAGTATTGAGTGTTTTCAGTTTTTGACTCTTTGGAAGTCAGTATTTTCAGCTCATTAATGTGTAACACCCCATTTTCCTGATCAGACATTAAAGCAACAACGGTCTCATAATATTTTTCCTTGTCACTCTCCCATATTCGTTCTTTGCTGCCTGTATTTCTGGAAGAATTTGGTTTTAGATCACTTTGGCACGATGGGAACCTAGAGGAGAAAACACAAACAAGGGCAATGCAAACACTTACATGTTGAACAAATCAAGGAATGGGATGTTTCCCTCTGGTGTAGCACCATTACCGTTCAGCAAAACATAGGTGCCTTCATCATCTTCCTTCTTTATCTTAGCTATCACATAAGTCCCAACAGGAGTTCTCCTCAGCATGGGAGAACCTGGGTCAGAGTAA